AAAAAAAAAAAAAAAAAAAAAGAGAAAAAATACAGCTCAAGTATATTTGATCTAAAAAACAGTTTATAAAACAATATATGTACAAATACTTTAAAACTTTGATCTCAAATGTACAGATATTTTATTAAAATTATTGCTTCTTCAAAAAAAATGCAACAAAGCAGGAAAAAAGATAGCTTATTGACATTTTCTGTCTGACAAATACTTCATAGTGAATGTTCCCAATAGCGTTCAGATTGTAAATTGAAACCTTCAACAAAAACTTCATACAACAAAATGCAAAACTAACTACGGTACATTATAAACGCCTTCTCAATGTGATGCCATAAATACTTTAAACAAAGCACTCTTTGTGGCAGCATAAAAAAAACCCAAAACAACACAAACTGGATTTAAGAGAGAACAACTAGCCAACATTTAAAATACCACATAAGAAAATAAGACATGGAAAAGAAGAAAAAGACAAAAAACATTAACAAAGCTACTGATTACTTCCTGGTTCTCTTGCCCAGAAGGCGTACTGCTGCTGCACTCCCAGACACTCCCAACCTGGAGGCATTTGAGCAGTTACATTGTAACTGAATGAAGGCAGGCTGAGGGGGTTTCCAGTCTGATCTGGATACATCTGGTTTGGGTAGACGTACTCCTGAGTTGAGCTTGCTGCAGTGATGGGGGGATTGTTTTGTGTCGTATAACCAGTAGGCATCTGAGTGAAAAAAGACCCCGAATCTCCTCCTGTGAAATAAACAGTTTGGCCGTGTGGAGCGTAGGAACCTCCAGAAACCGCTGCAGTGTCAGTGAGATTAGCTGTTGGATCAGCGTGGGAAGTGACCCAATCGTTTCTGTTCGCATCAGCGTGAGCCTGCCAGTTTTTGCTGCCCTGGAAGGTGTGCTGAACGAGGTTTGGTCGGGCACTTATGACGGTGCTAATGGACTGCTGACTAGACCCACTGGGCTCTGGGTTATTATGTGGCATCCGGTGTGTTTTTTGGTTGTTGGGCGCACAATCAGCTGAAAAGCTGCTCACATTTGTGAAAACGTCCTGAGCACTGGAGCTCGGCAGCATGTGTGGGGCTTTGGCTTCTGCCGTGGCAGCAGTAGATACGACTACAACGGCGTCTCCGGTCTCGTCAGCTGGACGGTTGGCCTTCACAAACTGCGCAGACAAAATGTTGGCTGAAGAAGCAGCGCTGACGCCAGTAGTGAGGTTTTTCTTAACGTCAAAGGAAGCTGTCTTGTTCGCTACTACAGCGTAAGAGGTTGAATTTTTCTTGGCTGTAGCTTTAACCAGCTGATGTTCTGAACCCAATGTTGTTTTATCTTTTGCATTTTCAGAATCTATGTTTAGAGGCTTTAAATCCCTCCTGTGGTCCGATGAACTGGTAGATTCAGCATTGTCAAGAGCTGACCTGGGGGGAGTCTGAATATTCTCAAATTTCCTTTGTTTCATCATGGAGATCAGTTCTGCTAATGGCTCCAAGTTCACAGTGCGTTTCATTTGTGTGGGTTCAGAGTTGTTATCTGTCGGAGCCAGTGGGGTGAGGTTCTCAGCAGAGTTAACGGCAGAGAACGCTGAGTCCAGTTTGTGCTGAGTCATAACATTCACTGGGTTGGGTGTATGTTTGGCTGGCAAAGGGTGCTTCTGAGGGCTGATGGTGCAGGACTGGAGCAGAGTTTCAGGTGTTTCTGCTGCTCTTTTCCTGTTTGGAAGGGATTCATTTGAGAGGTAGACCTTTGGTTTTTGACCTGTTGTAGAGGTACTGGTGGTTGATGTTGATGATTCTGACACTGGCTTTTCTTGCAGCTGAGGATCAGAGTTTCGGAGATTAGACACGTGCGGTTTGAATGCTGGTTGTGGAAATAAACCACAACAGGCCTCTTGAGGCACAAGATGTGCACCAGCTATTGGGACTGAAGAGACAACAGGTGCATCCTTTGAGCAAGAGGGGTATGCTTCCAGATCGATGACGATTCTTTCTCCAACCACATGCAAATCTCCAACACCAGCCTTTTTCTCCAAACTAGGGTTTTCTGCTTTCTGACCAGTTTCTAGGAAAAAAAAAAAAAAAAGTAAACACACAAACACATTAAAAAAAACTCAAAGAAAAGGACTAATTCTTATAATTTAAGTTCTCTACAAATATTTAAAACATCTACTAGTGGTAAACTAAAAAAGAAAAGAAAAACCATCACCATTACTCACGCTTCTTTTTTACTTTACCTTATTGCCTCTAAAAATAATGTTATTTATCTTTATTACAAATTTATTCAATATTTTGGTGAATCTAAGATTTGAGAAAGTTTCCTGATAAAAATTGTAATGAGGGTTCCTACTTTTTTCAAGGATACAAGGATTTTTATTGTCATTCTCATCACATGTGGTACATGAGGTGGAACGAAACTGTGTACACAGGGTCCCAGTTACATCCAACAAAAATACAAATTGTAAAGAAAAACATTCGTAAGATCCGAGTCATGAACTAAGAATATACTACATTCACTACACTAAGAATACACTAAGCACTAATGGTACAGGGTGCCGAGTTAAGATTTAGGTTTACACCCAAAAAGAGGCTAAAATCACCAGTGGTCCAGAAAACATTTCCCTATCATGGTGTGTATCAAGCAGGGGAAACAAGAGAAGTGGCGTACGCACAAAAAGGGTATAATAAAAACCCTGTGCATGCAAGAGTTTTTAATATGTTATCATTTTAAACTGTTTCATGATTTCTGCACTTTGTGTATATGAAGCAAAGAAGTTTCTGGAGAAAAAAGAACCATCAGTTCACGTCCGAGCTGATAGGAATTCTCTGTACTTACACAAACTGTTTTTTCTTAGAATTGTTTGTTCTTTTGTAAAAACCAGAAATGTCAAGGTTATACACATCAACTCATAAACCATCGGTCTTACACTGTCATTGTTTCTCTTAAGCATTTAATCAAAATGTTCTAAGATCACTTTGCCCTCGTTGTAATCTGCCTAATCAAGACGTCCAGTCTTTTCCTCCTTCCTGTGTGAACAATAAAAAGGCGAACAGATGTGGAAAACCTTCGGAGTTCACAGAAACCAGCTCTAGTGTTGGAACTGTGAATTTTCCCCTTTTTGCAAAAAGCTTCGCTGAAAATCTTACTCTGCTGTGTGGTTCTTTATTTTTATAGGTACGGAGGAAATACCCAAAAGTGCATTTTGTGGGACTTTAAAGTTTCTTTCAGCTGCTCCCTTTTTCAGAAGTTGCCATAGCGAGCGAATCTGCATGAAAGATTTGGCAATTATTTTACGTTGGACCACGGCACCGACCACCATGCTACCACAATAAACCCCCAATAATGTTGCTGTCAATCACAGATCCAGTGCCTTTCATTTTTTACTTAATGATTACCTGCTGAATTTAAGAGTTGAGCTACAACAAAAGGAACAGCATTTGTTCAGAGTGTGAAACCTCCATCCTTCTATCTTTTAAGTGTTTTTTTATGGCTCTTTCTAGGTGCTAGTTCATTTGTTGTTACAGAGACAACAGCTGCAGGAAACCGGTAGCAAACACAAAGAAGTTAGCCCATAATCCAAACATTTACAGAGAAAGTCAGCAAAACAAAAGTCGACAGGAAATCAGCCTGACGAAGAGGCATGAATAAGCACATTTCACATTTTTCGTTGGACTAGCTGGTGCAAAAACATGTTTAGCTGAAACAGTATACCTTGTGTGGTCAATTAAGTTGTGTGTAAGACAGGAGACTGATTAGTTTTTCAAGAGGAACTCACTGTTCTGCTGGGAGATGGGTGGATGACATTCTGGTTTCTTGTCCACAGAACCTTTCACGAGTTGTAAAGCTACGAAACCCAAAGAGAATGCATGCACATTAATGAGCGTTTAGCTAAACCAGAATGTTTTTAAACAGCTGTAGATTAGGTTTGTGGCTACCTTTGCTGAAAGTAGCTGCTGTCTGAACCAATCCATGCTGCTCCGAAGGCAGAATAAGAACCTTGGCAAGTAAAAAAGGGAAACACAAACAAAAGAAAGATTTAATAATAATAAATGTTATATTCACATGAATAATATGCAAGAGCATACCAATTTATTATTTTGACAGGTTAAACTTGTTGAAATTCAAGGGTCTGGCACTTGTATACCAGGATCTGCAACCTTTTAGATTAAAAGAGCCAGTTCTGCCCCTTCACTCGCTAAATAAATAAAATGTGCCTGGAGCCACAAAACCTGCTACAACTGTGATCAACTGGTGGTCCATGGGCCACTTCAAATTTGTTCGGGGGGTTATTCCAGCCAGTTGGGGTGACATTACAAGCCTAAAAATATCAATAAATGTTACCATTTATTGATATTTTTACATTTTTGGACAAAAGAAAACACCATGTTCATGTAAAAAGGTAAGAAAAAAAAAAAACAGTTCATTCCAATTTTCACAAAACATTTAACCATTGAACTCTACAGGCCTTTATGAGTTCACTGTAGTCCACAACATCATTTAATTATCCCACTTTGAAGCAATAAAATAAGAACTTTTTTCATCCTGCTGGAAATACAGCATAAATTTAAAGTGTGTTTAAAAATTAGGCTATTTTCTTAGATACTATGTATTGTGACTTAATGATTTTTTTTAATTAAAAACAAATACTTTGATTTACTTTGACTTTATGTTTTATATCTCTAATAATTATTATTTTTTGTTGTCAAATTGACTTGCCATATTTCTTCTAAGAAACTTGTCCTAAGATTCAATATTCCAAAGATGTTCTGGTGGATTTGAGAGAAAATTCTCACTTTAAGGCTGGAAGATGGATAAATGAAGGAGCATAGTCTAATTAACACGTTCGCTCTTCGTATTAGAAATATCATTCACATATTTGTTGATATATGTGTATAGCATATGTGCCCTAACTGTTGTGGTTATAAAAAAACAATTAAATTAAATTCCATGTTAGTTTTGGTCAAAGCTTCAAAGAGCTGCACGTTGCAGACCTCCGGTATAAACTATTATGAGTGAAACAAGGATAAGAATTAAACATTTACTTCCTCTTTCACCTTTCTAAAAATGATTTTTTATTTTTTTTAGGACTACATTATGGAGTTTAACAAGGTTCAATTGCATTAAAATGATAGCTTTATGTTTGCGTAATAAAAAAACAGTTACTAATACATGTTCAAAATAAATTTCATTTCATAAAAACATGTCTAGAGTGTTGATCTATTAAATTACCCGTGCATCCGTATTTTCGGCCTGCTCCCGTGCCCATAGTTTCTCGACAACAAGATCAAATAATTCTGATTTTTGCTTTTCATTCAGTTCGTTCGAGTCCAAGAACATATCCAGAAACTGAGAGTAATTCTGCCACTGAAAAATATGCAAATCAGGCATGAAAATACTGCTGTGATCCAAGCATTCATCTTTCAGGTTTGCTCCACATTATTACCAGCACGCACCAAAAAATTGGTCTGGTGATTCTTGCTGACCATGTGTTGACACATGTCCGTAAAAGAGATGATCTCCTGGCAGCTTTCACACAGGTAGAACGTTTTAGCAGACATCCCCTGACACTCCCACACAAACTCCATACCTGAAAAGTACACACCATATTTAACATGCTGTGTATACAACATGGCAGCAGCAAGAAGGACACAACAGGACAAACTCACCAATGATAGGTTTGGTGTCCTTATAACGTGCGCTCAGGAAACGAGACAAATTACTGCAGTTCTGGGCTTTCAACTCTGTAACAAACACATATTACAAACTGATTTAATAAACAACTAAATAAGAGTGCACTTGAATGTGTAACACTTACCAACAACAGCTCTGTGCTGCACTTGCGGTAAACTCTTCTCTCCGGGTCCCGTGCTGTGGTTTGGAGCTTGTTGGGCTCCGTGGCTCGGTCCTGATGCGCTGTGCCGTGCTGATGAAGCAGCAGTTTGAACAGGTGTAGCTTTCTGCGGACATTCGAAAGCTCTCCGTGGGCCCTGGGAGGCTGACTCACTCTTCCTACGTTGTGTTTCAGGAGTGAGAGAATGTGCTGTTTTCACCACTTTGGCTCCTGAGAAATTAAGAAAAAAAGTACATGCTGAAGTCTAATGTGTATTAAGAAGTTATTAAAATAAAAAAAGGGTATAAAGCTCAGAATAATACCTGGTATTTGTTCAGCTTGATGGCTCAGAGTGAGATCTGGACGAGTTTTGTTTTGTGGAACAGATAACTGAAGCTGGTCCTGAATCTGACCACAGTTTGAGCTTTGCTGTTTGAGTAACGGAGCCGCTGGGGAGTCTTCCTCACTTTCAGAATCGTCTATTTCTGTGTCAAGATCATTAAAATAGCAAACACTATAAGGCTTAAAACTGTTTGGCTGATTTTTCTTTCTTTTTTTTGGTTAATGAACAAAATTGTAATTTTATTTTTTTACCTATTATCTGGATCTGCTGTGTCTGATGCAGTTTTTTGTTTCCCCTGTCTGGTTGCTTTTTGGAACGAACTCTTAGTACTTCTTTATCTGGCACCGTCAGTCCTATGAGACAAAAAGGCAAATCTGATTTAAAGCCTATTAAATGTAGTGAAAAAGTAAAAAAAAACCAAAAAAAAAAACAACTGAACAGCAAAAAAAAATCCCTTTTCATCAAAAACAGGTCAATCTGACATCATTAATTGGAAATTCACGCTGCTCCTATTGGGCATTTTAAGAGAAAGTAAATAAAGAAAAATAATTAGGGACAATAAAAGCAAGTTATTCTTAATTTACACATAACAAAAATACTTTTTAAAAGAAGGTTCTTGGTTTCTATAACTGCTCAATTGTAATGAAAACTTGCTTGCAGCTGTTTGCATCGTCTCGAGCCCTTTGAGCACAAAACGAAGACCAAACTAACTGCATGCACACTCATCATTAATCCCACCCGTTTCATTTAACAATTATGACGACCATAAATCAACTACAAAACTAACTCGGCTGACCCAACGTGCAGTATGAAGAACGCTGCATGCACGTCAGAAAGGAGCACATTGGTTAGAGCATGAAGGAGCAGAAAACACGTCGCTGAACTACAAGGGACAGACTTCACGCACTTGTGGTAAAACAACAAAAACGGCATGAATTGTAGTTACAACGAACATAAAAATAAGAAGCATTGGCAGAAAGAGTGCAGTATTTACCAAATCTCTCAGCAGGAGGTGTGACTTCAACCCCACACTGAAACTCTGCATCTGGCTCCAACTGAGTGGTGTCTAAAGTCAACGGAAAGCAGGCGTTGTTAGTCTGGAGTTATGTATCTAAAAAGAGTTCTAGTTGAATAAAATCCAGGTATCTTTTACCTGCTACATCTTCAGCGTAAAAACCAGGATTCTGGATGGGTTCTAGATCAACTTGATCCTGAACCCTGTCATAAACTTCCATGACTTCATCATTTAAACTCTGGTCATATGCCATCAGATTTAAATCTTCTTTCACGTGCGAGTCCATTTCTGTGCCAAAAACACGTAGGAGCACCGATATTATGATTAACGTAGGAGCACTGACATAATGTTATCCTTGGTCTAAAAATATTACGTTAAGATGCGTTAGCCATGTTTGTTAATGTTTAGCCTTGACAGTCAGGCACTGTATGCTGTGAGGGTTATTGGTTATTATTGTGTGGCTGTATCCATAACCTTGAGCAGAGAACTGAAAAAAAAACAACAACTTAAGGATGGAGCGGATGAGGCCACACTTAAAGCTCATTCATCTAACTAATGTATTCACAATAAGTTTATGGAACGCAAAACCAATCGGATGGTGATCTGGTATTTTATTGTTTAAAAAAAGAAAATGAACAACAAAGCGATTGTATTTTAATGGTGTCAGAGAAGAAGGAAGGAAAGATTTGGAAACGATGGTGTCATGGGTCACAAGGAGAGTGAGAAAAGGAACTAAAGGTGTTACGAGGAAGCAGGGAGACCTTCCAGCAAACCAAAGTGATGACATCATTATAATCCAGCTGGAGCCAGAAGGGAAAAACGAAGAGATGGGGGCGAACCAGATCCCCAGGGAGGAGTCGATCGCTTAACGAGGAGGAGCATCCAAGACCTATATAATGTGTTATCATGAGACTTCAAGACTCTAGGCTTGTTTGCCGATCTGTATTTTCTTGGGCCAATGAATAAACCTTTAAATCACACATGGGACTCCAATATCTCTTTGACTTGTCAATTTATGACTGGTAGTGAGGGCTGGTTTTCAGAGAAACTTCCTAAGCGAAAGGTCAAACTATATTTTATTAATTCTGGACTAAATTAGTTTTTAATATTAATTAACTACACAACAAATAAATGCCTAAAATGGGAAGTTTGCAAATGCTTTTATGTGAGTTTTTTTTCTTTCTTCTGTTCAGTGCCCTGAGATGACTTCTGTTGTGACTTGGTGCTATATAAATAAAGTGAAATGAATTGAATTTATCCATGAACAACAATAACAAACAAACAAAGCTGCAGTTGACGTCTCACCTGGCATTTGAAAAAAAGCCATCTGGTCCTGAATGCCCGCCTCATCATAAGAGCTTGGCATTCCTGTGAAACAAAATTTGCAGTAAAGGATTCAGGGACGTGAAAAGAGTTTATAGCGGCTTAGTTCACTTGAGCACAAAATGTTCAGATCTGAGGATGAAATCTGATGCACAGACATAACATTTAATTCAATTTACCATCATCTGAGCTTGAAACTTCGCAGAAACTGAAAACGTTTTGCCTAGAAGCACTCGACGAATCAGCTGCAGGAATCAAGGGAATGTGCGCGTCTTTTCGTCGCAACAGTTCTTTCACTTTCTCCACAGCTGAGCATCAATAGGAAATAGAAAATTAAGACCCAGCAATAATCAAATGTTGAACACAAAAAAACTGTTTCCATGAAAAAAAAAAAAAAAAAAAAAAAAATCCAACAAGTTCATTGGACGTCATATCAGGTTTTAAAGGGGAAGAAAGGTTTAGATTTTTATTAAGTCATTGAAAAGGAAACAAAAAAGGCAGCTACCGGAGTGTGTGTGTGTGTGTGTGTGTGTGTGTGTGTGGGCAGGGGCTGTACAGGAGGATGGTGTGTCAAACGCCCTGGAAGAACTTTAGCACAGACGCAGCAGGGCTCAAGGACAAGACTAGCAAAAATATGTGCTAATAGCCAGATGTTACATGTTACATAACTTGGTTGCTGTAAAGAAAGAAAAAAAAAAACTTTTGCATTTGGAGCAGACTCTGTTTTCCTTGGCCTAAGGGATTTTTTTTAAAACCGCCGTGTTTGAGAATAATCCAGATAAATTGAATTTACCTTCACACAGAATACTAACCAAACATACAAATAAGATAAAAGTCTAAATTTTTACAAGAAAAAAAACCAGACACCTCATATAAAATTAACTTCAAGGATATATTTACCTTTTTTGCCTGAAAGGGTCCTCAGTTTTTCATACACAACCATCTCCACCTCCAGTTTCTAGTTAAAAAAATTATAAATAAATAAACACCAACACAGCAGTAATTACAAAAAAACTGCAATAGTAATGCATAAAAGCAGCTATTTGCCTTTAATGATAAATGTCCTTTGGGCTGACGTAATACAGAAACTACAATCAGTGGTTCAGTTTTGGTTGAATTTTGTGTTTGGACTTGGGACACCAAAATAATCCTGACAGTGGAAGAGTGGAGGCGTAACGGTCTTGTGTTTTCCTCTAAAACCGTCTTCAAGAGCGTTGGTACTAAAGTACATTTTGAATGCTGACTGCAAGAAACAGTTTTAAATTATAAGAATGAAGTATAATTTGGTATGTACCAATTAATCAGCTAGTGTTGGGAATAAAATAATGTTTGATTATAGTTTGTGGGAAATAATACTATGAGTTGGTTCATATGATGTTTAATCATGAATTGGGAGAATAAAAATAAGGTTTGATTATATTTTGTGGGAAATAATACTATGAGTTGATTGGTATACCATTTAAGAATGAATTGTGGGAATAAAATAAGGTTTGATTATAAAAGGTGAACATACCAGGACGTGGTTTGGTTGGTATAATGTACAAGTATGGTTTTGGGAAAATGGAAAATATCTTAAGGGCGAAATAACTGAGTCACACTAGGAAAAGACAGCTCAAGGAGTGTGTGAGAACGGATTGGATAAAATGGGAACTGGGAGGTATCATGAAAGTGTGTGGAGACAGGTGGTTTTTTTCATTCAACCTTTATTTAGACAGGTTAATCCCACTGAGCATCGAGAACTCATTTACAAGAGAGACCTGAATTGATTTGACAGGGATGACAATCAGGAAGTGTCTAGGGAGCTGATGGAGTAGAAATTGTAAAAAGGAAGTGTCAGTGGAGGAAGATTAGTGGGGGAAGGAAACATAGCCGTTAAAAATAATACCAAACCACACGAAGGGCAGAATTGTGCAGGCATCCAGGGAGAGAGGTAATTACACAATTTTCCAGATCTGTGATTTCTTGTTCATGCATTTGTTTTTGTTTTTTCCTGTTTAATAAAGTGTTTGTTAATTCTGACATAAGTGTGTGTTCCTTCCGAGCAAACAATCAGGCTGCTCCTGGCTGCACCTCCAACACCAGTAAGCCTAATTAGTTGGTTTAATCTGGACCAGAAATTTGTTGATTCAACATTCTAAAGTCCAATTATGTAATAAATAAATAAATAAAAATCTGGTTGTCTTTTGATATAATGTCTTTTTATGTTTTGAGGTGTGCAAAATATTTAAAAGGAGCTGTATTAAAAAATAACATTTGAAGGTGATTTTAAGTGTTCCTTAGTCAAATGGGTTCGTTGATGGACTAAGGTTACAACCAATAAGCAGATTTTGCTTTCAGGTAAGAGTTAGTCCAGGTTGAATGCAAGGTTGCTTAAAAGTTTTTAAATATTTTAAATAATGTCTGTACTTTGAGAGTTTTATTGAGGTGGTACTTATGGCAAGTTCTAATATAAACAAAAATAACCAGTCACACAGTAAATATTAATTAAACTTGATAAGAAAAAACATCTTTGCAGATCACCTGAGCCAACCGGGTGTGTGGCAAGTCTTTCTCAATAAGCACCAAGTGGAGCAGGTCTTGCCTTAATTTACTTTTCAGTTGTGACTCCTCTGCTGTCCATTCAGGGTACTTCATTTTCTAAGAACAGCATAAGCCCCCCCCCAAATTTTTTTTAAAATAAAATAAAAAACACAGTTAACTTATGAAGATGCTGGATGGATGGAAGTTGCAAGTATAATTTATGCAAGACTTAAAATTTCCGTACCATATACTTGTGCTGATGGTCAAACTTGGTCAGGTGACTCTGACTGGATGAGTTTAATTTATCTGAACACAGCAGGCAGTAGACCTGCATCTTCTTTTCACAGGACACAACAATCAGCTGATTTGCTCCTAAAAGTAAAAAAAAAATGCAGACGTGATTAAAATCAGAATAATTTTATATGCACAGATGTATTATTATTATTTTTATTTTCAGTCATTTCTGTTATAAATTAAAAAAAAAAATACTTGCCAACTTTCAGACTGTGTTTACTGGGTGATTTACTTGCAGGCAAGTAAGGCTCTTTAAGTGGTTCACTGTTCTCAGAGCTGGCAGGTATGGTGGTGCCCAGGCGGGGAACAGAAGGTCGTGTCTTCTTATGGGCTTCAGAGTCTGCATTTTCTCCCACCAGTTTGGGCCCATGTGCCATCTTAGTTGGAGCATCAGGACTGTCATGTTTAACAAGCGTTTTAGCCATTTTAGCAGGAGCCACAGATGTCCCTTTAGTCAGATGTGCAACTGGGGCTTTAGGTGTTGCATCATCCCATCTCGAACTTTTCCCAACTTTAGATGAAGTTCTGCAGCTAGCTTGTGATGCATTACCAGAAGAAGAGTTCACTTCAGATGCACTTCCTTTTCTACTTTTCACCTGGACTGACTGTGTTGCAGATTTTGCGGTGGGTGTTGCGTTTGAGATGGTGGCACTAAAAGAGGGAGTGGTTTCTGTCCTTTTGGATGAGGTTGATGCAGATTTCAATGTGGGTACTGAGCAGGTATGGGGAGTTGCCATCTTCTCTGCTTTTGACGCAGTTTCAAACTTTATTGTTTTAACAGGTGTGTCTGGAGAAAGGTTTGATTCAGGGGACCAATTAGTCTTAGCTGTAGGCACCTTTAACTTTACACCAGCAGGAAGGCTGTCAGACTTGTTAACTTTCACATGAGACGGTCTGCATGCAGATCCCGTTTCTGCAGACGAGTCTGGACTTGTGGTACACATGTCTGAATCACTAATCTCCATATCTACCACCTTTGAGAGAGGGAAAAAAAACATTTATTGGAATTTTTGGTGTCCACAGGTAAAAAAAAAGATTTATAAACACTAAAACATGTCCATATTTGCTTTTTAGTGCTTTCACACATTTCATTTAAAAATCTTTCTGTATTTTTAGATGCTTTTTGTACTGAAGTATTTAAAGCCTTTTTAAAACTATGCCCTTGATTTAGCTGTGTTCCAAACGAAGCGTCGTGTTTCCTACATGAACATCAAATCAGTTCCATGAATATTAGAAAAGAAAGAAAAAAAGAAAAAACTAAAACATGCAAACAGGATTGAATTAGGAAGCTCAACACAACCATCATCTGAATAGATGAATATTTATCTTATTAAAATGGCTTTAAATAAAAATTTCCAGTTCCACAAGAACAAAACTGACCTGTCTATCATCCTCATATTGACCCTGAAATATCTCTGAAGTGCTGTCAGGTGTACGAGCAGACTCAAGTGTGGTTGAAGTCGGATTACAGCCTCGGTCTGGCCAATGCTTTTGTGCCTGCAGGGTCTGGATCACTTTGAAAAAGAAGCAAGGAGTAGATGAAAGTTCAAACTTAACTATACTAAATCTGCCTCAACTTAAAACAGGGAAATGACGTAAGCTTACCTGACTGAAAGCTTTGGTTTAAGATGTTACTGTATGTTTTTTCATTCAAATGAATAACCTGGAATCAAGACAATAACGTTTGGTAAGATAATAAATAATTATGTCTGAAATTATGTTCTTTGCAAGTATACCGGTAAATATTTTAGCATTATGCAAGTCGAACCAAAGTAACCAATAGTGTTCATTCAGCTGTACAGTAGTCCCTCGCTACTTCGCGGTGCGACTTCCGCAGACTCGTTCTTTCGCGGTTTTTCAAAGTAAGATTGGACATGACACACAATTGGCTGACTGATGGATGATCCGCACGAGCAGCAAAGGATTGTTTATTTAAAAATAAATTATTTTAAATGATTTAGCACCTGCTGCACCCCATAGGTGCAGGGAGAAGCTCGCTCCTGCAGCATGTCATGATCTCTGCTCTCTGCCACCTGCCAGCGATAGCAGCGGAGAAGTGGGTGTGGCCGAGAGCGCTGGCATGTTGCAGAGAGTGGAGATCATGACATGCTGTGCTCTTTTAGTGTTTAGAGCAGTGTTTTTCAAAGTGGGGGCTGTGGCCCCTTGGGGGGACGCCATAATAATAAAAAAATGCTCACTAGGGCAATCTGTATCGGTTATTTAAAAAAAAAAAAAAAAAACACGCTTGAGAGAGAGGTTAATTTGTTTTGTTCTTCTGGTCAACAGTTTGTTGAAAAGTTGTTGTTGTTTTCAGTGGGAATATAATACAGTGTTTAAAACATGTTAGTTAATATTTTTATGTTCAGCAGCTGTAATTGAATATAGTGAATAAAAGTTAAAACATAACAGGTGATGTTTCTTTACATATTTTGTAGCATTGTTTGTGGGGTTGCGAGGGGGG